GAGAAGACTTGGAGCAACTTACCTTTATCACAGATTCCACCAGATCCTTCCCATCAGCCAAAGTCTTGTCTGTGCCAACTGTGCAGTCATTGCCCACTTTGTTATTTACGAGTGGCATGAGGGATGACTTGTCCAGAGTCTAGGACTCTGCCACAGCAGACAAGAGTTTGGCCCGGCTACCTTTTACTTCCCTGGCTGCCACTGCTCCTCTTCTTCCCCTGGAAGATTCTTCATTCAGTGGCTGAGGGTCGAGACAAACTCAGTCCCAAGGCAGCATGATGCACAACAATATTCCCCTGTAGCAACTATATTGCAATTACAGGTCCTAAACATGCTATGGATGCTGGAGTGGGGAAAAGTCAAAGTAATGAAGAAAAATGAAAAAAATGATAATAAAATGATGTAACTGTTAAGCAAGGTGCTAATCCTGTGATTGACCCCTTTGCACTGACGCAGGCTAAGACAGGCAGCTAATCTTATTAACCATCAACGATACCAGAGAGGAGAGCAGCTGGCTGCCTACCACAATGGCCCCTTCACTAACTGAGGACGCTGTGCTCTGTTACTTCAAGCACACCACAGTGGCTACACCTCCTTCACTCAGCTGTAAAGGTCAATATACTCCATAAATATTTTATTAGCATGTTGGAAATTTGTTGTACATTGCACTAGGTGAGAATTAAAGATTTGAATTGACTTTGTGTAAAGATAAACTAATAAGCAGATTAGAAAGCACACTGATGCACTTAAGAGTATTGGAAGTTGTAGATGATTGCTTTGTCCTATCAAGGTTCTTTGTGGTTTATTTTCCCCTGAAGGCTCTGGAAAATGGATGGCCTTATTTTGAACAGCTCCATGTACTGAATGCATGCTTAGAAGAAGCAGGTTATATTTCTATAGCAGTGGATGCAGAAGGAGCTTTTTCATGTGGAAAAAGTCTATAGACCAAATAAAAAGACAGCACATATACGGTGAGCATGAACTCGCATTACACCAATGAGCTTTGAAACGAAGCCTTCTAAAAACAGAAGGAAATTGCTTAGATTGTCTGTGCATCTTCATATGTAAAGCATTAAGTGTACAATTTTATTTTATTTAAAAAAAAAAAACCTATAGCACAAGACACGCACACAAAAATACACATTTCATTCTCAGTTTCAGGGGATTTTCTTCAAATCCGAAGGAAGTTCTTAAAAACCAAATGCAATTTTCCTCAGTTGAAAGGAGGACATTTTCATGCACTAACCGGGTGAGTGCAGTTGTTGTACAACAACTGGGCTTTCAATGGTGTACAGTCTTGCCCGTTTTCCTCAGTGTTCGGGCAGACGTTCCCTTCCGTGGTGATGTGACAGCCTCCCTGATGTTGGCGAGAAGGCCTCGCTTAGTCTTTGCTTGCACAGGGGACTTCTGGGAGAGCTTGGCAACTTCTGCCTTCAGCGAGACAATCTCCTTGTCTTTTTCCACATTTTGCTGTAGGATCTCTTCCATGGATTTTTTCTTTAAAAATAAATAATAATAATAATAATTTCATATGATATAGACAGGCATTATTTGTTCTGTGAGAAAAGTATTTGCTGCTTCTTGATTTCTCCTTTTTTAATTTTTCTGGTCATGTGTAAGAAAGTAATTGCTCCATCAAGCTAATATCTGGTTGTGCCACCCTTGGTAGCAAGAACATGTTGTGTACTCCTGCTGTGCATCATCTCACCTGATCATCAGCAGTCCTCTGCAGAGCCTCAAGATCAGCTGATTTCTCCATAAAACCATCTCTGACCTTCTGTAGCGTTTCATTAAGCTCCATCAGCCTTTTCTCCAGCGACAAAATTAGCTGACGAGCAAACATCAACACACACATAATTACATAGCCAATCAGAGCCAGCGTTTAACTGGAAAGTTTTGTCCTTGTTACCTGTTGTTTATCCTCACACATCCGCTCTATGGCACATTTCTCTCTGTGTAGGCACCTGTATCGATCATCTCCTGTGTAGGGTTGAATTTGCT